ATTTAACAGGAAAGCAACACAACTTTATCATTCTTCGATTTTTAATTTCGTATTCGACTTTCTCCATCTTTAGATAAGAGTTTGACCTAAATTTAAATCGTGTTTGGTTCTTGGTGTTCTGAGTTTGATTTAAATTTATACCCTATATTGTGATGAATCATCTTCAACGATTGACCATTGAGGTCTGCAACATGAAGCCTACAACACACACGATGATGTTGCAATTAGCATTTGTTTGTTCWGAGGATGCCAAATACATGTTTTAATGGTCTGCAGTGTACTACATTGCTTCAATGGTCTGCAGTGACTTATAGGTTTATAGTTTTTGTTATGAGTTTATTTTCCTCATATGGTTCATTGCTTTATAGATTTTGTTATAGGTTTATTTTTCTCATATGGTTCATTGCTTTATAGATTTTGTTATGGGTTTATTTTTCTCATATGGTTCATTGCTTTATAGATTTTGTTATGGGTTTATTTTCCTCAGGTACCCAACTTCAAAGGATGGCTTTTCACTAAGCCTCTGCACCTCGATATGTAAATGTATCTCGCTGGTACATCATATCAGTCTCTTTTTGAGGATTATGTAAGTTCTTAAACTTGGTCTTTTATTGTTAATGGTTCATTGATTGAGATTATTTATTTCACTATGTTTGATTGAAGGAAGTAGTTTCTTTGTCGATAGAACTGTTTTTTTTTTCACAAAGGAGGCAACTGTATCTCCTATTGCTGATGTTTTATTGCAGGTTTTGGTATAATTTGTCCTTCTAGATAGCCTCCTTGATGGTGTCGTGTTCTCTATCTCCTGAATAATCTTGAGACTATCAACAACATGAGATACACGTAATAGACATCTACCTCATGTCAACATTTATGCCATGAGATTTGTTGGTGACTTTTTTATTGGATAATGCAGAACCAGAACCTATTGATTGTGAGTACTACAGAAAAGGACTTGGATCTCGCATAGTATGTCTTCTTACAGTCTCACTCATCAGTAACATAAACTTTCARGATATAGGTTTTTTACAAGAATCTCATATARGTATTGCATCCCATCTGAGTTCATTATTGTGTAGCGATTCCTCAGTCCATTGCTCTCGAGGTAACATCAATTCTTTCCTTCTTGCATCATCGATCGACTTAAGATCTTTTCTTTATTTTCTTTCCTTTTTAATAGCAAACGCTCAATGTACTTATTCCTCCCGTTAAGTAGTGTCGAGGAGGGTGTATTTATTGGCCAAGATCATATTGGAGCTTATGATCAATTATGTTTGGTTATCCTTAATTTTTTGGCTCCTATTATATGGGTTTGTTTCAATTGTCGTTTACCAAATGCTTATTCGGGTAAGCGTTTACCAAGTTATATTTCCTTACCGGATGAATATGGTAATGACCAAAAATCTTACGTGGTAAGAGCAAAGACACGGACCGAAAGTCTTACCTGGTAAGTGATGACGACGGCTCTTACCACGGTAAACGCTTACCGTGTAAATTGTTACATGCGATGTCGTTTTGGTGGATTAAAATCTTACCCGGTAAGTAAATAGTAGTGTTAAGTTTTACCAGTAAGTACTTACCGGATAAATATTTGGTAAACGGCCCCTTAGTTTGATTCTTTGTCGGTACAGAAAGAAGGGTATACATTGGCTTTGAGACCGAATGAGCCTTTTCTACTTAGCAAATTGACATGGGTGTTCATGAGAAACAATTAAATCAACTAAAATTAGTTTATATTACTAAAAAAATGTTGCTGTCAAACTGGTTGTTTTTTCTTTTGCTTTTCATCTATCATGTTTTTTTGTTGTACAAATCCTAAGAAGTCGGTGCCAACGGGCAACAGGTAAGTATCTTGATCTACCGTGATGGTGACAATGGGCAGCAGGTAAGTATCCTGATCCACCGTGATGATGACAATGGGCAGCAGGTAGTCAATGACAGTCTGGGTAGAAGGTTTGTTTAGCTGTATTGTCAGTTAGAAAATAGACCTTTATTAATCGTTCTTCCTGGGCACTTTATAGGTAGATATTATTGTGAATCAAAAAGTATTCCCTGTGTAATTGAATGTAAAGGGGTTACGTCCCTTTATTTAAGTGTAAGATTTAGAACCAAAGCACAATATATCTGGAACCAAATTAATGATTAAGGCTCTTGGTTCAATAGAATGGCATATGCTTGATGGGTCTCAATAGAAAGTGCYAAATAGAAACAGGAAACGAGTGCTTGCAATCTTATAATGCATTTGATTTTTGTTTCATGACATTTATTAGACGCTGTTATGTTTCAATTGCAGGTGTTTTAAGTAATACCAGACGACCAGATAAAACAAGTGTATCAACCCGGTTTGCAAGGTAAATATGTCATTTGAATGTTCATTTCACTGGGTAAGATTTTGAATCTTGGTTGGGGCTTGATGTTGGKTAGTTATTATYATYTGCAGCTGCTGCGGGTACGTTCTTACTTGTTGGGTAAGAGTCGTTACTCTCACTTACCGGGTAAGACTCTCGGTCCTTGTTATCGCTCTTACTGGGTAAGATTTTGAATCATTGTCATGTTAGTTCGATAAGGTAACGTGACCCARTAAGCACTTACCGGGTAAACGTTTAGTAAACAGCCTCTTACTCTAGCTATTAGGTTAGGGACTTGCTAACCAAACCAAAATTTTTACGTTAAATTTTTTCACCTTAYGGGGTACATGATAACTTGAAATGTTGTTTCAGGGTGATGGCAAGCTYTATATCTTTCTTGAGCTCGTAATGAAAGGTTCGTTGGCAAAACTGTATGAGAGGTATGAACTGCAGGATTCCCAAGTTTCTATTTACACCAGGAAGATTTTGAGTGGTTTGAATTACCTGCATGATCGATTAGTAGTTCATAGGTAAATCTTCTTTCATTTTGGTGCTATCTATGGATGTATCCTGGCCAATTTTTCTAATTTGACTGTTATATTTTAATGTACTAGGGATATCAGATGTGCTAATATATTGGTAGATGTTAGTGGATCGGTGAAGCTTGCARATTTTGGATTGGCAAAGGTAAGCAAAGAACAAGGTTTTTGYTCTTCAATATCATCTTSTTTTCTCCATATGATTATTTTCTAATACAGTTGACTACATCTATCTTGTTAAGGAATGCTTATCAATATCCTTCTCCACTCGAGTTAGAAAGCTTTCAAGTACATATTACACTGCCTTCACTCTCGCTTCGCTTGTATCCACAAATATCTCCAAAGGATTCTGTCGGTGGTATAACAATTTCTCTATCTCATCTTCTGAAAATTTAATTTATATCCAAGTTATACAGTGATGAGAACGTTCAAAGATTGATCAACAGGTACTCAGCCAACTGGAATACTGGATTATAGTCCATTTGATCCTACTGAAATTGCTTAAGTTCCATCTGTCTACCTGTATAACAATGTAATAAGTAGTTTTTATGTTGCTTTCAATGCGTTATGTTGTAGAAATTAAAATTAATGATACCTTTTGTTTCTTATTTTTAGTCAGCTCGGAACTGGAAAACAATGAGTAGYGCCTTTGATGTCCTTTATGTGTTGAAGAGAGCGGGGTATATGAAATTCGAGTATTTTGTGGTAACATTCCACTAAATGATGGTATTCCATGTATAATGGTAGTAAGTGCAAGTATTTTGATAGTCTGAATTTAGTTATTCAAGTGATACTTCCTCTTGTATTTATTTTAGTAGTACATGGGTCAACCGTCAATGGAGCAAAAGAGACATCTGATGGAAAGCAAATATAAACCAAAAGATGCATCAAAAGTAGAAAAGGAAAAGGAACAGAATAACCACAATTTTAACCTTCAATTTTATATATTAGTTGACTTACAAAATAATCTAATAAACTCATGATTCAAGGATAAACTAATGTTTCAGAATTGTGGTTCACTCGCGCTGCATCGCGCGGGTACACCACTAGTATATATATATATATATATATATATATATATATATATATATATATATATATAAGGTTTGGACGTTTGTTTAGTGCGAAAATTGTGAAATTACTTATTTGTCCTTAACGAATCCATATATTATCTAATTACAATTGTACCCCTAGCATGAATGATGAATCAACATTTAATTTTGATCAATAGTTTGTTTATTTTATTTTATTTTGGTCGGGGTCAATTTGTGCATAACTCGACTAACCTTAATGGTCTTGAAGAATAGTTAAGTAAAATTTCAGTGGTTTTGCAGGACTCGAACCGGTGACTTCCGATGATGAAAAATCCTCAAAGATTCAAGTATTATTATCAGTTGAGCTAACCCCACAAGGTTAGTTTATTTACTGCTTGTCCCTCTCTTGTTTATTTAATTTTTGGACTCGAAGGTGGAGACTTAGAAGAACGTCTCTTTCGTACCCTCAGCTCTCTCCTCAAATCCTCGACCTTCTTGATATCATGTCCCACCGACATTGTGTCGTTGCTTCCTTCTTTGTTTCACCGACAATGTAAACCATTGATGCATATGTGTGTGTGTGTGTGAGAGATAGAGAGAGACGGGAGGAAATGGTGAAGTTCATGGAGACGGAGAAGAAACAAATGATAAATAAAATAAACGGATGAATAATCAAAACACTTAAATCAGGGGTAAAATGACAAAAATACCTTTGTGATAATGGAGTTATAGACAAAGATCACAACCAAAAAAACAATACTTATATGTCGTTTTTGTTTGTAACAAAAATAGAAAACCTATAAAACACAGGGACGAAAATTATAATATACTATAATAATTATGTAATATAAAAATATATAGAAAAAACACGTGGTTAGGATTGATTTTATATGTACGGGGGATGTAATCCCATTTGAAATCCAAAATGAAGCCACAAAATTTGGAGGTATTTGATGACATCGTTTGTGCCTCTTTCCTTTTGTATATATGTATGCATACTCTCGGGGCTGACCTAGTTAATAGCATATGGTGGCATGGACCACTGTTTCATGGCTCAATTATAATGGAAAAAAAAGTTACATTCTAAAGGGTGTTATCGTGAGTGCCTCTTATGCTCCTTGAAAAATACAATAATAACTTGAGTTTTTCTTCGTAAAGTTGGTTTGCATGACTTTTTCTCCCATCCTATGTACATGTTCGGATCCCATTATTAACTCTCTTTCTCAAACTTGTCCCCTAACTTCTGAAGCCATATGGAGAACTTGTGGTTGACATGCACTGAGTTGGTGGCAGATACGGGTCAATAGCCTCATTCAGACAAGTAGGTCCCCCTTATATGCTCTAGCATTCCACGAAGGCAGTCAAACATTAAAAGTAATACATACCAACTACTACTCCAAACTGTAACTACCTTCTCTGGGTGGGGTTAATATAAGGTCCCTTATAATCCTGCCTGTTCTAAAGCCACGTCATCTCAACATGATACTTATAAGGTACGCCACGTCATATCTGTGTACCAATATTCCTAACTTTTAGCTTTTAACTTCAAGTTTATTATGGTTCTGAAAATAAATTTAGGGTAAATGCTTATAAAAACACTTGAACACATGACCTTAACATCTAAAAAACAAGAACCAAACAACAGACCAATAATGATTTTGTATAAAATTATAATACATTTATTTCTTATAGTCAAATAGTGTCACCACTTTTTGCCCTTCGACTATGCTCTTTGACATTTCTTTTTCATCTTCTACTTCAAAACACTCATAAGAAATTGAAGACAGACAGAAGAAGAACAAACAAGAAATGAAAGAAAACTATAATATAAATATATATGATCTAATCACCAAAATATAAAACCGAGCACGAGTTAACGATTTTTAACAAATGGATAAATGCGATGGTAGGTTCAAAAGTGTGCTTCGGTTACGTTTGAAAAATCTTAATCAGATGATTGTACGTGTTTTTAAAACAATATATGTTATATGTTTGTAGTTATGAATATGAAAATGACATCATGGCCTCGTGGGTATGACATATTCATAAACATACGTATATATGTGCAAGCATTCGTCAATTTTCAGTCATTGGAATTTGGTGGTTTGTGACCAGGAAATCGATTCGTTTCAATTTGTAACCATGACAAGAAAATATAAACAAGGATTGATGGACCCTTAATCATCAAATAGTGTTATTGTGTTATTTCTTAACAGGGGACTGTTTTAACAATTTGGTCATCGAACGAGGAGTACCAAAAAGTTATTGGCAACGAAACACACATTTCTAAAGACTGCATGTATATTGATACACGAGAAATGCATGATAAGTAGGGGTGAGCATAGGCGGGGTACTATTTGATATGAACTGGAACCGGCGGTTCTTGAGATATTGGAACCGGAACCGGTTAGAGCGGTTCTTGAATTTTTGGAACCGGAACCGCCGAGAATTGGTTCCGGGTACCCGCTTCCTAAAGTATTAAAATTTTGTTATTTAGAAATAAAAAATAAAACATTGCCAAAACACTAAATAAATAAACAAGAATACAAATTATACGGAATAATTGTTACAAATATTGTTTAACGATTACAAACCATAATAGACTAATAGTAAATGTTGAAAGTTTAATGATTACATACTATAATTGTAAATGTTCAAAGTTTAACGATTACATACTACGAATCCAATTAAACTCACAATTTGAAAAAATACGAATCATTTTATCTCAAATTATGAATCTGGTTTCAACTTCTTGCATACATATCACATCGGTACCTGTGAATAATTGAGTGTTAAAGAAACTACACAAACTTGTAAAAAACTGCACATATTTTTAACAAAAAACTACACCAATTTTATATAAAAAAAACTGCACAAATTATATAAAAAACTGCACATATTTTTAACATAAAATTACACAAATTACATAAAAAACTGCACAAATTATATAAAAAAATTATTATTATTATTTTTAATTGAAAAATACCGGGTATCCGCCGGTTCCAGTTCAGGGTACCCGGTCCCGGTAGGTACCCGGCGGGTAACGGTTCCGGAAAATTGAGAACCGGAACCATTCTCAATCGGTTCCGTATTTTAGGAACCGGAACCACTCATATCGGTTCCGGTCCCGGAACCGGCAGTTCCGGTTCCGCAAGTGGGTACCCGGTTCCGCTGCTCACCCCTAATGATAAGTTGTGTTTACTTGAAAATGGAATCGAACTGATTATATACATGAGCGTGGTGAAAAAGTAAACCATATGATCACTCAACAAATTTGTTCGCTTAAGAATTATTTACACATCGAATATTAAGAATTCGAGTTCAAACCAAGCGTTGGCATATTGTAAAGGTTAATAGTTTTCGTTGTAGTATTGATGTATCACAGTCCATTTTGTGACACAACTTTGCATTGCATTTTAGAGTGTTTGCTATAAAAATCATGTATGTTATTACAAAGCTAGCGGAAGGTTCAAATTAGCAGGTAAACATCATGGGAAGATAAGAAGTGAATGTTAAGGGAAGACTCATGTCCGAAGCATTGAAAAATACGCAAAAATCGATTTCAAAGATGCATATGCTAATCAACATTACATATTATTCATATACAGGGGCGGACCTATTAGATCCCGAGCGAGGTCCCATGCACCCACTAAAAGTTAAGGAGCGCTCCAGGATATTAGTAAATAGTAGAAGGGTATTCGCGCAATGCAGCGAGATATATCTCTATTTTAATATTTCGTTTTATTCGTTCTTTGAATAAGTTATAATACGGTTTTTATATGGTTTTGAGAAAAGGATAATGTTTTTATTTCTGAATAAAATATAAATTTAAAGATATCATAAAAAATTCGAAAATAAATATATCAAAATTAGTATCAAATTAACTATTTAAAAGTTATTGTTTTTTGTGTAATTTTTTTTAATTCAATTTTTTTATTATAATTTAGTTTAGATTTAATAACAAAGTAATTTGTTTATGATTTAATAATATGATTTTTTATAAGGATAATAATTAAGAATTCTGTTAAAATTCAATGATTATCCTGATTATATTTTAAAAAAATAATTTTATTAAAAATAAGATATTTATCCGAAATTTGATTATGTTTATCTGCAGTTAGTTATACGAATTAAAAAATGCAGCTTTAATAAGTTGTACTTACGCACGATTTACTTGTAATCTTAAATTTTAAGTAATATGCATTAGTAAACAGTACTTCATGCATAAAGAATGATTTTTAAAAGTTTTTGTCAAATGTTTTATAATATAGTATAGATAAATATCATCAACCAAAAATTAGAAAAAGTCTCTTGAACTAAAAAAAAACCGAAAATGACCCTCAAAATTGTTTGATTAATCAATCACAAAATAGAAATATGCATATATTAATGTAATAAATTTAACATAAAATGAAAGATTCTTATACAATTTCTACATGTAACCATAAAACAACAAAACAAAAGATAGAATTGAAATCGAACCAAATTAAGCCTGCAATACAGTGTTTGGTGAAGACTTTTCGCATGACCTAAACCGCTTAAGGTTCTGTCTCCGGGAGCCACTATGTTGTCTGCCTTGTCTTTGACATTTAATATGCATATTTATGTATATCAAAGTTTAAGCTTTTAAATGATTCATTTAATGTTCAAGGGTTGATATTTATTAAATGAGTTACATTTCATCTTGGATTCTATGTGGGACAAAGTTTCTCATATATAAACCAAATTTTAGCAGAAATCAACCAAAAAACTTAAATAGTTTCTTAAAATGGTGGAATTCGGGTAAAAACACATCGGACGACTTTACGGGACTTTGATTAACCTTAAAAGTGCTCTTAAGGGTGTTTGAGATTACTTATTTGAAACAACTTATGCTTTTTTATAAAAACAGTTATCAACTTATTATAAGTCTGAACAATTTAACTTCTTCAAAAACTCCTTAATACATGTTTGGCATGGGTATAAGTTATTTATCCGAACACTTAAAAATGTTTGTTACCGGTGCCACACCCGAATAAGTCAATAAGTTATTTTTACGAGCCTCTCGAACACGCGGTTGATCAGCAAAGTCCTGAGTTTGCCACTGTTATGGGTACACGTATATGCATTTTCATTTGAATTTTTCAATGCTTCACTTATGAATACTTGTATTCTTACCTTATCATGATATTTAGGTGCGAAGTTTGGTTCGTTGGAATCGGGTGAATTCTAAGGAATTGGAATTGAAAATGTTACACACGTTTTGTAGAGTTTTACAACCCGAACTACCAATTTGTTTTCGTTACCAAATTGTCCGCCCTCTCATTTTGCTTTGCAACAGTTTTTAAAACCTCAAACAATTATTCCGTTGTGGAAAAATGTATTTAAATTTCCCAGAACCATCAAGAAATTAACCCCCAAATTCTCTTTTTTGCCTGGGAGATGTGTAGACGTGCACATTCATCGCTCAACTTCGTTTTATCACCTTCAGGTAATTTCCTTCGGTTTTTTCTTAATGTTTCAAAGGATTCCATGCCTTCATTAGATTCATTTTCATGGTTTACATGCAGTGAACATTAAATTTACCCTAATAGATGATGCATTTGAGCAATGTGTATCCAATTATGATCACAATTTTATTGTTCATGACGAGTCATGGATCTAATTGAATTTCTTTTGAGATGTAACTAATTGATTATTGTATTTTCTTTCTTTTGTTGAGATGTTTGTTCATAATGGTCGGCTTCCAATCGTTAGTAATTGTTTTAGAAGAGCTAATACATTTCTTTGCCCTATAGTGGAATCTTCAATGTTTTTTGTTCTTTTGTTTCCGAGCAGTTAAGTGTTTTTATTGTAATTGCAACTCTTGGGGATGACAATTTGATTCATTGGAGTTGTCCATATATGCTAAAGCAAATATTAGGTGATTGATTCTCATAGCAGGCAATGTAATTCATCTTTTCCTTGTAACCCCTGTAGCAATTTGAGGAAGTATGATGAACAACAAGAAACCTTTTACCCGATCTAATCGAGGCAGGGATAAAAAGAAATGTCCTAGCCCCTTTCTAGTCAAACCTTATTTTTGGATGCTTGTGTTATGTTGATTGCTTGCGTCATGGAATGTCTACATTTCCTGCTACGAATTGGAGGTGTATTTGTTTTGAGAGGATATCATGTTGTGATCAGCTTACGAGATAATAGAGTCTCAAGGGATGTCGCCTTTTCACACTCGGGGTTTCCCGCCCTCTCTAAGTACTATGAACTATATTTCACTATTTTCAAGCATCTTGAAATTAAAAAGTTAAAAGCCTCTTCAAATAAAGCTCCGCTCTTTTTCAGTATTGATCTCTCCTATGTCCCCCAATGTATCATCAAAACAAGAACCACACTGCTCCTATTCGAGACTTGGAGAAGAACCAATGACCATCTTTTGCCTCATGATTCCTCACATAGCTACCAACATCTGGCCTCTCAATCAATTGATATTTGTCAATGTAGTTCTTGAGCAAGAGGTGCATATGGATCATCCTCTAGGGTGTGTGGTTTAGGAGGAGACCTCTAAAGTCTACAAATCGAGTGGATATTTATATGACTGAACAATCCCCCATGTAATCCTTTTCTAATTTTTACAAGCTCCGGAGTATTCTTGGGTATAGAAAACCCTTACTACAAGTGGCTTGCCATAGAGTAGATAGGCGGTGGAAGGACAATTTCTCATGTTAGTGGAAGTATTGTCCTCGATGTTCATGTGGAGGTTGGCATGCTTGGTGGTAAATTGGCATATTCGCCAATTCGTTCATAATATCAAGGTCTATCTCAATGAGATAAAACTTCTTGAGGATACAAGAAGATGTTGGAGACTAGTTGGGAAACTAATTCACATCATAGTCCTGTGAATGTTATGAGAATGCGAAATGAGTATATTTCTTCCCACATAGCAACAATTGCAATGTAATACTCCATATTTTGATATGCCTACAGAGTATCGCATGGAAAGGTCTTCTCTAATCTACATATCAAGAACATACGTGTATCACTAATGTTAAATGAAGTACCGGACCCAAAAGAAATATCTGGACATAAAGTTTGTGAAAGAAACAAGGAATTTAAACAAATATTAGAACTTGCTGGCTTAAGGAACAAAACATACAAGATAAGAACCCACTACTCTAATCTCTAAAGGGAATTTATCCACCAAGATTAAAGGGAAAGGGAACACTCCAAACCACCAAGATCAAAGATGTATAAAGGCAATGAAGATTTCAATAACCTAGAGAGAACTCCATTCATTTTCATATATCTACATAAGCTGCCTTCTACAATTCTGGAGCCTATATAGAGGAGAAATGGACAAAAACCTATACAATGAAAAAAAAGCTGGAAAAATAAGTATTTGTACCACTAGTACATAAATTTCAGTCAAAGATAAAGAAGCTCAATATAACAATCTGCAACAACAGCAGGGGACCACTTTCTTTTCAGCACCCCTTTCAGAAAGGTGATCTTTTCACCTCCAAATAGTGTTGAAATTTGAGGTATGGTTGGGACAAAAAAATCATCAAAGTATCGTACTGTTGAACCCCCATCACCAGGTGATCAACAATTGAGGCTTCAAATGGTAATCTACAACAGCTGGTAGCTGAACAGCTGACAGCTAATGGCTGAACAACTAGTGACCGAACAAATGATGGTTGATCAGAACAATGATCAACTGATGGTTGAACAACTGATGACTTATTTTGTTGCTGAGAAGGAACAACCCTTGATCAAACAACTGATGGCTGATCACTGATGGCGGAACAATTGACCATTGATTTCCATTGCTCAATGGAAACTCTTAACAAGATAGTAACACTACTACAGTCGCACACATAATATGCAAGCATGTGTGACATTGTTTCTGAAAGCACTACAGATAGAATTGGGCCTAGGCCAACTGCTGCAGCAAGGTGGACCCATTGTTGAAATTAGGATTATCAAACAGCTCTTCAAAGTGTGATTTGTAGTAATTTGTATTCTGGAAAGAAGAGCAAGAATCATGATATTCTCTCTCTTTCTGATCTAGAGTGTATAAATTTTGACACACAACTTTTGAATTGACATATCAGGTAGCTAGGTCAAACATGCACATCTTTCTATATCTAGGTAAGTTTGGCTATTTGAAGTTTGTCCCTTTGAATGAGGTTGGTATGTGTCACAATTGAGTAGCGGTTTAAAGGTTAATTCAGACATTAAGTTTTATTGGGGAAATGATGAATTTCTTAATGATCCCGTAGATACTAGTAGATCAATTAACCTAACCATCTCAAGATAATTGGCTTTTCATTGTGCTGATTTTTGTCTTCCCCTCCCACTAGTAACTGGTATGCGGTTCTGAGGAACCTCATTGCCCTAGGATGAAGTATCTTATACACAAGTTGTGGGTGCACTTGAGTTATAGGGTATATAATTCTAGCCATGTATGAAGTTTGTATAGTTGAATGTCCAAGACCTGGTATTGAGTTCTTATTGTTGGTATATTGGTAATTTTATATCCTCGAAGAGCAAAAATCACCGTGCTGTCTATCTTTTTTGGGGGCGAGTATGGGCTATGGACGTGCAACTTGTAACTTGACACGGTTCATCATTTGATATCGGAGTTGGGTGATTGGTCAAGTTGTGCATGTTTGAGATCTATGCTTCAACATGAGGAATGTTGGAGTAACGGGATATTTCTATATTAGATATTGTGTTTTCTAGGGTTATATGTTTCAGTCCATCTTGTGCTATATCTACGTTCACCTAATAGTTCATTCATGCATTCCGAGTCCCACTTTTTTCATTTGAAATACATAGAATGGATTAATGGTTCAAAACAAGTGAAAAAGAAAAGATATTTTGATACCACTAAAATTGCTCTGTATCACTCACATTAGTTTATATACTTGATCCTTACAAATTTTCGTATGAAAGTCCAAGCGCTTGTTGCTTCATTGCATGATCATGTGTTACATATTATCTAATTACTCTTCTTCTTTTGTTCAATTCTGTAGGCTTGATCATATCAAATCCTTTGTATCGAGATCTCATTTGATGGGTTGGGGAAGCATCTATATTAGACGTATGAAAGTTTTCTCTTTGGCACTTCTAATCTACTTCGATTATAAGGTATACATCATTGCTTATAAATGCTTCATGTAGACTGGGCTAGTTAAATAAGAGAATTAATATTTCTGGCTAACTGTAACCTTTTGGTTATTCCTATTGCTTGAATTATATGTATTGAAGTCTTTAAAGCAGAGGGAGAAATGGACAAACAGCTCTGACAGAGCCATTTTATGGGAGAAAGCCCATGAGCGCAATGCTAACCGTATTGTTAAGTTGATCATAGAGCTGGAAGGTATGTGGGTAAAAATGGGACAATATTTTTCCGTGCGTGCTGATGGGCTTCCTGGTGCCTATCCACGCCTTCTGAAGCAGTTACAGGACTCACTTCCTCCTCGCTGCTTGAAAGAGGTATGCCCTGGCCCCAGAGTAATGAATTCTAAGATAAATTGAGACCTCTTCTTATTAACTAATACAAGGAACGGCGTTACACAAATTGATATGAAGACATGAATACATCCTTTTCAGGATACATTTTTTCTTTCTTTCTACATATGGATATCCGAAAGAAGTTGGCTAGATCAGCCTATTTAAAGCAAAAAGTCAGCCATGATTTTGGAAGTTCGCAAAAAAATGATATTTAACTGTGAAATGTGAATACATCGTTTTCAATATACAAGTTCAATTTTCTTTCTTTCTATACTCAAGGATATACTAAAGGAGTAGGAAAATTCACCCTGTAAAGCAAGAATCCCATCAAAACCATGATTTTAGACGTTTTGATTGCAGTGGGTTAAACTAACTTAAAAGAGAACTACAAAAGTTGTCCCTGGACCCTTACCTTGAGAAACACTTTCAGTACCTTGTATTAAAGCGCTTATCTCGGTACCTGGACTCTCTAATTTCTACCAATCAGGCGTTGAATGATTTTATGCCTCTCCCAAAGTCTTCTTTCCAAACTTCCAACCACTTGGTTCTTTTTATCTCTGCTCCCCATTTTTTTCTATTCCTTTCTCTTTAAAAGACCTACACAGATCCATTACCACCCTTCTCCTCTGCCACCACCACCACTAAAATCTCCAACCCGGGAAAGGCCCTAGGGACAGTTGGGTACACATTTCAAAGGTCAAAGACTACAAAGAAGAGTGGGATGAATGAGAGGTTCCTCACAGTCTATACTTGGAATGGACCTAACCAGTGCAGGGGAAGATATCTGGAATACACTAAGGAGAATGAAGCTTTCTATATCCACAAACGATGTGAAATGGAGGAGAAATTAAGACTGAACAATAAAATGGAAGGAAGAGTGCTAAATCAACAGCTATAGCTAGTCTAAGCATTCGAGTGGCTTAGGTCACTCCTAAAAGGTAATGAAAATACTTTTCTGCGATGCCCTATACCACCTCTCTTTCACCTCTTTATTCTATGCTTCTTGTAACCAATTCTACCACCTCAGCTCCGTACTGACAGTCTTTTTGTGCACCACCTTTCTTGCGCTTGGGGTGGCGCCTTGCATACGTCATTAAAATAGGGGCAGTAGGTGAAGTCGTTACATTACTGGCCGCCCAAAGTCTCACCTTGTCTTCACGGTGGAAATCTGGAAAGCGAGTGTGAATAGCATCAAAGTCCTCCCAGGTAGCTTCAGAGGTTGGTAGGAGAGTCCATTTCGACAATACTTCAGTCTTGGTAGTCTGGACTTGGATCTTGGTGCGAACATCCAACAATGTCTCCGGTTCCACCATGAGTTCCATGTCAGGAGACAATTGTTCGGGTAAGGTGGGTACCACTATGCAGTGTCCAACTGCGCATTTGAGTTGGGATATGTGAAACACTGGATGGATTTTGCTTGTAGTAGGCAGTTCCAATTTGTATGGTACCGCCCCCAATGCGCTCAACAATCGTAAAGGGTCCATAAAAACGAGAGGATAGCTTTTCAAAAGGCGTTTCGCCAAGGATTGTTGCCGGTATGGTTGCAATTTGAGATATACTTGATCACCCACAACAAAGCTCTCTTCTCTGCATTTAGCATTTGCATTTATCTTCATCTTTTGTTGGGCTTGTATGAGGTTAACTCTTAACTCATCCTAAATTGCATGCGTTCTTTTAGCAATGACTCGAAGCTGTCTACTAGAGTTTGCCACCGACCCACCTTCGTGATTACTGGAGCATCTCGACCATACAAAGCCTTGAAGGGAGTCATTTGAGTAGCTAAATGAGGCGATGTATTATACATTCTTCCCAATTTATCCATTGAGCCCAGGCTCGAGGCTGTCTAGACACAATACAACGAAGGTGCGCCTCTAGGCACTTGTTGACTACCTCTGATTGGCCATCAGTTTACGATAGACGTAGGAAATCCGTGCAACCGAACTACCTCTGAAATGAAAAGTGTTGCTACCGACAAGGCGGTGAAGGGGTGCTTTAGGCGAAGAAAATGTGCATACTTCGGAAGTCGATCAACAACCACCAAAATCATATTAAAATCTATAGATGTTGGGAGGCCTTCGATAAAGTCCATGGTAATCTCATCCCAGACTTGGGAAGGAACAGGGAGAGGTTGAAGCAAACTGCTGCTGGTTGTTGAGTCGAATGTTTATTTTGTTGGCACACTGCACAAGCTCGAACATATGTGGTCACATCCTTCCGCATTCCTGACCAAAACCAATCAGTAGCCAATCGTAAGTTTTGAGCTCACCAGAATGTCCGCCTACTACCAAATCGTGGTATTCTGCCAACAATTTCTGCACAAAAGTAGATGCTTTTGGAATCATAAAACGATTTTTATAACGGATCTGGCCATCCACCACTATAAATTCCACATGTGGTTTCCCATTTTGTAAGATATCCTTCTTTATCTGGGAGATTAGATGATCTGCATCAACTTCGGATTGTAGTTGTCTCCAGTCAACCCGACTAGAAGTGATCAAGGTTCGAGTTGCACCTCACCTGTCACTTTTCGTGAGAAGGCATCCTCCACGCGGTTAGCTGCACCTTGCTTGTAGTGTATTTCGAAATTAAAACCCATCAATTTGCTCACTCAATGTTGGTAGTCTGTCCCGATCTCCCGTTGTTGCGTGATATACTTTAGGCTTTGTTGGTCCGCATAAATGGTGAAACACCTTCCTAGAAAATAGTGTTTCCATTTTTGGACGGCCAAACAGATTGCCATCAATTCCTTCTCATAGACCGATTTAAGTCATGCTTGAGCTCCCAAGATCCTGCTAAAAATGCAATTGGCTTGCTGCTTTGCATCAAAACAGCCCCTATTCTGTAGCCCGAAGCATCAGTCTCCATGCAAAAACGAACCAAAAAATCGGGGATGGCTAGCACCGGGGCGGTCACCATGGCTTGCTTTAAGCATTCGAAGGCTTGAGTAGCCTGTTGAGACCATCCAAAACTATCCTGGCATAACTGGTCTGTTAAGGGATGTGCAATTTGTGCGTAATTTCCCACAAATTTACGGTAATAACCGGTCAGCCCCAAGAACCCCCCACTCCTTAAGGTTTTGTGGTGTTGGCCAGTCCTGCATGGCCTGGATTTTACTACTGTCGACGGCTACCCCTTGAGCGGATATAACATGACCCAGGTATGCCACTTCCCCTTTACGAAACTCGCACTTTCTTAAATTGACATACAATTTATGGGCATCCAGCAAACTCAGGACTGAGGTTAAATGTTTGACGTGTTCCTTCTCATTGGGGCTATATACAAGAAGATCGTCGAAGAATACCAATACATACTTACGTAAGTATGGTCGAAGAAACACGTCGTTCATCAGTGACTGGGATGTGGCAGGTGCATCGGTTTAGCCTAAAGGCATTACCAATAATTTGTAGTGGCCTTCGTGGGTGTGAAAGGAAGTTTTCGGCGTATCTTCTAGTCGGATGAGAATCTGATGGTAATCGGACTTAAGGTCCAATTTGGAGAATACCTTTGAACCGTTTAACTCGTCTAAGAGCTCGTCGATCACGGGAATGGGGTACTTATGCGGGACAGTCTCTTTGTTCAAAGCATGGTAGTCGACACTAAAGCGCCAAGACCCATCTTTTTTCTCGACAAATAGCACCGGACTAGGGAACGGGCTGGATGATGGCTGTATGACGCCTGCCACCAACATTTCCCTTATCAATTTCTCAATTTCATCCTTTTGGAACTGTGGGTATCGATACGGTCGGACACTAACTGGGTTACTTCCTTTAGAAGTATTCGAACAGTAATCGCGCAATGCAGCGTGATACATTTTGATTTTAATATTTTATTTTATTTTTTTATCTCAATCGATGTTATAATATGGTCTTATGTGATTTTGAGAAAACGATGATGTTTTTATTTTTTATTAAAATATAAATTTGAAGATATTATAAAAATTTGACAAAAATATATCGATATTAGTATCAAATTAATTATTTAAAATTCCTTATTTTTGTGTTATTTTTTAATTTATTTTTTATTATAATTTAATTTAGGTTCAATAACGAAGTAATTTATATTTGGTTTAATAATATAATTTCTTATAAAGATAATAATTAATTATTTTGTTAGAACTCGATAATTATCTTAATTATATTTGAGATTTTTTATTTTTTAAAATGAGATGTTTATCCTCTATTTGATTATGTTTATCCACAGTTAATTATACGAATTCAAATATTGAGCTTTAATAAATTGTACTTGTGCATAATTTACTTGTAATCTTGAATTTTAAGTAATATGCATCAATATACAGTACTTCATGCATAAAAAATGGTTTTTAAGAGTTTTTGTCAAATACTTTATAATATAGTACTAGAAGAGTACTCGCGCAATGCAGCGAGACACATCTCAATTTTAATGTTCTATTTTATTATTTGTTTTTGTCGATGTTATAATACGATTTTATATGTTTTTAAGAAAAACAACATTGATTTTATTCCTGAATGAAATATAAATTTGAAGATATCATAAAATTTTGAAAAAAATATATCAATGTTAATATCAAATCAACTATTTAAAAGTTCTCAATTTTTATGTAATTTCTTTAATTTATTTATTTTATTATAATTTAATTTAAGTTTAATAACGAATAATTTATTTTTGGTTTAATAATATAACATTTTATAAAGATAATAATTAAGTATTCTGTTATAACTCAATGATTATCCTAATTATATTTTAGATTTTTTATATTTAAAATGAGATGTTTATTCTGTATTTGATTATGTTTATCTGCAGTTAATTACACGAATTCAGATATGAAGCTTTAATAAGTTGTACTTATGTACAATCTACTTGTAATCTTGAGTTTTAAGTAATATGCATTAATAAACAGTACTTTACGCATAAAAAATGGCTTTTAAGAATTTTTGTCAAATGCTTTATGATATAGTATAGATAGCATGCTCATGACCCCTGTTTGGAGGCAGCCTTGTCGG